GAGAGAGAGAGAGAGAGAGAGAGAGAGAGAGAGAGAGAGAGAGAGAGAGAGCATTGCTTCTGCTTAGGAAGATCTTGCCAGGCTTCTACAGTCAGCTCTCTGCCAGTAGTTCTCACTCTATGGGCAACTGCATTGCCTTACTGATTCCCTCTGTGGTCTTCTGTATCATTCATGCCTTATGCACTATTTTAGAGAAAGAATTAATAATTGTATATTTAACAGGCAGTGACTTGACTATTCAATGAATCTCTTTGCTTTCATCTGCAGAGGTAGGGGAAGAACATGTTTTCTTGAACAACTGCCCAAGTACTCTGCTCCTCCATTTGTTTTCGATGAGGTAAGCCTTCGCAGAAGATGACACTTGGACTCTCCAAATTTGGTGCCCATTTTTTTCAGATCATGTTTGTTAACAGCTTGTTTCCTTCTACAAGGAAATTGGATTGTTTTCAACTGAAAGCTATCTACCAATTCATCCATCTAGAACAGAATCTGAAGAAGAAGAAAAGTAATAACCCTGTGGATGCCCAAGTTCATAGAATGAGCTTGTGAATATAACCTAGCTCATAGTGTGAGTGATGATGGACCAAGATAACAAGACCAGGGACTCCTGCCCAGCCCCTGGTAAAGCAGCAATCTCCACGAAGTTCTAAAGTACACTGAACTTCTTTGTGAAGAGCTGAATTTGAAACTGTAAGTATTTAAAAGTCTAACTTTTTTGAGTTTCTAAAGAAAATGGTAAGAATTCCTTCTTAAAAGACACAGATCCAGTGTTACAGCTCTTTTAGAATTTGTCTAGCAGGTTTTCTGACTTCCGTCGGAAAACCCCTAAAAAAAGAAAAAAAAAGACACAGATCCTATATTTTTTTTTTCTGTAATGAAGCCAGGTAAAGATGTAGGATTTTCAGCCTATGTTGTTTAATCCTTAATAGTCAACCTTGCAATTTACCAATAAATTAGCCACAGGCAATACATAAATAAGGCTGTATCCCAGTAACATTTTATTTGCAAAACCAGATGATGCCGTATTTGTTACAAATGGATCCAAGAAAATGAAATCTCTTATTTGATTCTGATTTTTTTAGGTGCTCTCCAAACAACATTATATCCTAAGTAATAAATTTGGTTCAGCTGATTGGCTATTTACTCAAACATATCGTGATAGTATTATGGTCCCTTTAAATGAAAAGGTAAAATTTGCTTCAAGAAGTGAAGTATGAAGACCAAGATGATGAGTCTATGGTAAATTTAGTGTCAAGAATGTCTGGAGCCAAATCATAATGTTCTTCCTATTGTAGAGATATAATGTATAGGCTAGAGAAGTACTTTATAAAGTACTTATGGATAAGTATGTCTACAGAATAACACAGCATACCTATATGCAAATAATTATAGGATGAATATAATCTAGGAATGTTTCTTGACTGTATTTGCAGGCATTTGTTTGGTTTTAGCAACATTACATAAGAATTTATTTTATTTTGGATTCAATTTAAAAGGCAAACCTAAATTTTAAATAAATATAATATATACTGTAGTTCCTTCTAACACCACAGAAAATTTCCTTCAAACAAACACTTTCACTTTAATTTGTAATTATTTGAATACAATTCAAACTTTAAAACATGTCAGAAATAATCATGACATGGGTTTTATATTATACTGAAACCTTATATACTACATGTGATGCTTTATCTTGATTTCAGTTTGACTGGTTTGAGACAAGATTAGGGAGGTTTACAGTGGCAAGGCTGTAGCCTTTATTGTAGTTAGAACATCACCATGGAAACACACCTCAGGGTGTTCTGATGAGGATGACCTCAGTGGTGTTTCACTAAGTGGGAAGATTCATTTTGAGTGTAGGTAGGGCCATCCCATGTGCTTTGGTCCTGATTGACTAATCAATAGGAAGCAGCATGGGTGTTCATCTTTCTTTGCTTCCTTACAACCATAGATGCAATGTGACCCCCTGCTTCTTCACTCTCCTGTTGTCCATATTTCTTTTGCCATGATTGACTATATTCCTTTAAATAATAAGACATGTTAAACCATCCTTCTTTGAACTTGCTACTTGTTGGGTATCTGGTGATAGCATTCTTAATTTTCTATTTATCTCTTAGTATCTCTGTCAAGTTTTTTATTGAATATGACAGCCCATTTTCAGGTTCCTGGTGGCTTTATCCAGCAGGTCTGCATAGAGAGGATGATTAGACCACGGGCCTGAGTGCAGATCTCTGAGATGGTCTGCACTTGGCTGTGCTATGGGGAGGTCCTTTGCTCCACCCCTTGGTATTCCTATAATACCCTGGGGCAGAGACAGTCAGGGCCCGTTAGAATAGGTTCCAGGCCCACTCGAGGCTATCCTGTATTTTCTATCTTTATCTCCCCTTCTATATTCTTCTATCTAATATTTCCTGCTGCTTCACTCAAGAGCACTCTGGGGAAATGTGGGGGTGGTGGGTAGCCCCTCCACAATTAGACACATCAGGATGACATATGTTCATATCTGAGACATCATCAGAATTGACTCAGATGACCAGATGAGATTGCATATTAAAATCTGAATGAATTTCACTGCTTCTAGACTCAGGATTTCGAAGGTATGAAAGAGAGAAGACACTGTTGAGCCCTTTGGTTTCTTTACCATGGTGTATAAGTGCAGTAGCTCTTCTCACATGGCAATATGGGGCTCCTAGTGAATGTGCCAGTGATCCAGATGGTTTTGCAGTTCTAATATAACACACACTTCTCATATACTATTGGTGGTTCTAGTCATAAGCTGAGTCAGACTGCAAGAAGAGTGATCACAAACTATGGGAGGAATACAGAATATTGGAAGTTTTGCTTTGAAATCTTTATAGCTAAGGTGCTATCATAGAGATGATAAAAACATTTAATTATATTAATTATATTGGCATTATATTAAATGTATTGAATTAGACCTCTGTATATATTTATCTCTCTCTATATATATACATATAAAAACTATGTATATGTTTGCACAATGTATATATATGCATATAAACCATTATATATATTATTGTGTGTATGTGTATTTTTGATACAATTTCATGTTTCATACTCTGACCTTTAGCTCACAGTATGGCTAATGATGGCATTGAACTCTTAATTCACCTACTACCACCTCCCAAGCTCTAGGATTACAGGTATGGACCACCACTGTTAGACTGAAACATACAGTTTTAAATCACAAGTTCATATAACAAAAATAATTTTATTCTTGCAATATATTCCAAATATAGTTTGCAAAACACCTGAAACTATCAATGGAATTTAAAATATTATATATATAATATATATATTAAAGAATTATAATACACATAATATATATGATTAAAATGGTAGTTAAAAAGTGGAGGTAGAATTTAAGAGATTAATTGAGTTAGATCCTGGCAGAGGCCAATGCCCAAATTGTCAGGCATCTTTCCTTCTCCAGTTATCTTTGGTGGGGAATTTTGCATCCTATGTGTGCCTGGTTTATTTCGTTCCTTCTTAGACATATAAAGATCTCATACATAGATAGAATACACTGCCACGTGTTTCATCCAGGAGGAGATGGTCTGAGATTTTTTTGGGTAAGGTCATCCAAGGTACCTTGAAAAGTAATGAAAGAAATGGAAGAATTCTTTACTCTAACCACCTCTTTATAACCCTGGCGCAGACAGTCTCTTGGCTCACAGTTGCAGATTGAGTGGCTCCTGGTTTCTGTGTTAGTTATTTGTGGGAAGGAGATCTGCCAGGTCTACTTTATGTCTGGCTTCTTCACTGTCACCAGTTTGCTGGTTATTGCTATCCACTCCATGTCAGGTCTTGCAAAGCCATTTGGAAAGCATCCAAGCTTTTATTTCTGAGATGATACTTTAACAATTGGCTGGCTCCCAGGAATTAAAAATGCAGGGATGGATGTATCACTGTCCTTGAAAGTGGTTACGAATAAAATCTCAGAATCAAATCCCAAGCCCAACTTGCTTTATGACCAAGTCAATCCCTTTGCAGCTCAGCTTCCTTGGCATCTCTTTGTATTAGAAGACAGTGAATAACAAGGGGTTCACTGAAGAAACACAACTCATTTGTAGTCTCAACTTCACCACCTAATGTCTAATGCTGAGACATTTCTGTTAATATAACCTTTCTAATCTTTCACTTGAGTCTATCAGTTGGAGAGTATACTCCCATGTACTCAGGATTATTGGGATCATGTGCTAAGCCCAGGGACTTGCATAAATTCATCTCTTCCTTTCTTTCTTCTTTAGATTTGTAAATTGTGGGGGAAATTACTATTTATTTTGATTTCATACACTGGTCTATATTTTTAATCATGCAGTTTCTTATTTCTTTCTTGAGGAAATTTCATTTCATGTACATATGGTATCAAAGAAAAAACAGTAAGATTTTAGAACATTATACATGGGATAGATAATTTCTTATGCTCTGATATGATCAGCTTCTTTGGTAAAATATGAAATTATGCCATTCTTTTAAGGTGGGTAGTAATGTCATGTTACTTTGATTTTAATGAGATCTGTTCCAAAGGTGGAACCCTTTGAGGGCTCCTTTATTAAACACCAACCCCGGCTGTTTTATGTTCTGCAGGTGCTATGTAAATGTCAAATATTAATGTTTTACTATCTAGTAAAAGAGATGAAATAAGAATTTTGTTACTGCTTATTTCAAAGGCCGCAAAGAGAGTATGTGTCATTGTCCTTTTGATTATTCAGCTGCTGAGTTACTTTACCTTAAAAAAATTGCAGTGAAAATAAATGCCAGGAATGCTGTCATGTTAGTAATAAAAGTTAACATGGTTAACACTTCTAGAGCACTTATTAAACACCAAAAGTTGCCGTAAGCACTCTTCATGTATTGTCTCCTTCAAGCCTCACCAAACACTGTGAGATGGGCAAGAGTCTTAGATTCCCAGGGCAGACAAAGAAATGGGCATTTCCAAACACTGCATAACTGACTAGGGATGATAAGCTACTGGGTGGCTGAGTGTAGAATTAAATCCAAGTGGGTTCAACGTAGTAGACAATGTTTCAAGAGTCACAGGGAACAGTGAAACGTGGGGAGCACAGAGAAATTCTGACCATTTAATGAGAGTGGCTTTTGAGGATTGTCACACGGAGCGAAAAGCCAGTGTTGTCATTGGTTATGAGTTCTTTAAAATGATATGTTGGCAATACATATACATGAAAAATACGTAAAGTACCTCAATGGTCATTTTTCAAAAGAAGGCATACAAATGGCTAACACACACACACACACACACACACACACACACACACACACACACACACAAATTGGTACATCACTAATCATCAGTAAAATGTATGTTAAAAGCATAAAGATTCATGATTTTACACTTGTTAAGATAGATACTAATGAACAGACCAAAGATAAATGATCCCAAGGATTTGGACTATAGAGAACATTTACATACTGTTTAGTGGGGGTATAAATGAAGATATTACAGAAAATATATTGATTTTCCTTAATTATAACAAAAATGACATATGTTATAACATTCCCATGTTTGAGTATATATTCACAGTCTCTGAAATCGGAGCGTCTAGGTAGCATTATTCACAATAGCCATGGTCTACTATCAACCTAAGTGGCCCTCAAAGGATGAGAAAGTAAAGAACTTTATTTTACATATGAAAGTGTACTATTTACCATTAAAACTATGAAATTCCTATAATTTGTGACAACAGAGAAGACCTAGAAACTCTTCTGTTAAGTAAAATATGTCAAACGCAGAAAGACAAATATTTCAGGATCCCATTTGTATTTGAAATATATAAAAGTCAAACTCACAGTAGTAACAAAGGAGAATGATGGTTACTCTTGATTACAGATAGCTGTAGAGTTGGGGAGGGTCCAAGTACCTACAATTTTAGTTAGGAATCAATTTGAAACATATACTACTCTACATGGT